AAAGTAGGTTCTAACTTTACAGTCTCAGAATTCTCAGCTTTATTCTGTAGCAAACACGGGTCGATGTGATTAAGTCAGATCAGTGTTTTATCAGCTCCACCGTGATCTGTGTTTTACTAGTCACTTTAAGCAACATAAAGGAAGCCTGTCCAGATTTAGTAACAACTGGGTATTGTGAAAGAGAATCTATGCTTTTGGAGAAGAGAAGGCTGGTGTTAGCCATTTAAATGTTATCCTAATATCCCAGTTAATTTAAGCATATGTATTTATTACTGGAAAATGTTATTTGAATGGCAAGTGTCCATAAGGAGTTTGGGGCTTTTAAGAAGTTTAGTGTGTACATTTCTGATAAAATTTATGTTACATAAGTTGTGTGCCCTTTAAGATGGACCCAAGCATAAGGACACAGCTTAATAGAGCAGAGCCTGCTCATAATAGGAAAAACATAATATTGTCACTGGTTGTCAAATTGCCTAATTAGGAACGTGATAGCTAGGAATAAATACCTAGCAAGGAGTTCTGTAATGTTTTGAAAGAAGGGAAGTGGAATGGGAGAGTGAAACATCCTTTCCTAGCAACAAAGAGGGCAGATGAGAAGCAGAAGACCTGGCTGAGGAAGCAGAGAATGATCATTTTCTTGTATATTTGGAAAACTGAAGGGGTCTTTTGAATTGAAAGAAAGATGAAGCAAATATGTGAGCAAGTATATTTTCCCCAGATAGCTCTGTCCCCAGTGCTGTGGGTGAAATGTGCCTTTATCTGCAAGTGTGATAAAAATAACTTTGTATGCTATTTCTTTCCTCTGAATGGAGGGAGGAGTAAATATGGGCATCTACTGTTACTAGAGGTATAAGGACAATGAACATCTTCTGGGGATGCTGGCAAAGCCAACACGAGTTGCCAGGGCTTTTGTAATAGGGTTGTGGTTTCCTGCATCAAGAGGGGTGTTGAGGGCAGAGTTCTTCACCTCTGCTGGAGTGCAAGGCTGAAAGGTTTTGTTTGGGGTTTTTTTGGTCGGTTTGAAGCTGAGTAGACAGTAGAGGGCTTCAAGGCATAAGCTTTTATCTTCCCAGTACCCTGTGCAAAGACATTCCATGCTTTTACAGCCTTCCTTGTTCTATTTTGAACTTGTGACCCACGCATTTTGCTTGCACAGCAATTAATGCATATCCTCCATGTGCTTCTGCATAGTGCCAGCCCAGCCATGCAGTGGCAATTGCAGGATTGGAAGATTAAAGTTGTGTAAACTCCTTGAGGCTCTAACTAAGCCTTTGTCTTTATTATGTATTGTTAAGTGCTAAACATTTTTAAGCCACCGTTATAAATAAGAGAGCACAGAACAGTCTTTGAATAGTGGAGATTGGTTCTGTGTGCCCCAAGTTCAGCAGCTTTTGAGTGCACTGTGTTTCTTGCAGTTCTGTAACTTTGCCAGAGTCGTGACAAGTGGTGTTGATAGCTGTGGTTTAGAAAAGAAAATAATGGTTACAGTTTTATCTGCTTTGAAAGAGAAAAAAAATATTTTTTAAAAAAGTTTGGTTTTAATACCCCCAAAACAGTTTTTCAATACAACCAAAAAACAATAAAGTTGTGGAAGGCAGAATGGCAGCAGTAAGACAGAAAATACTGTAAAGTCTATTCAGTGAACTCTGCATCAGTTTATGTCGTGTGCTCTTTGAAGTTATCCACAAATAAAAGGATGTAGACAATCATATAGTAGTTTATTCTAAAGCAAAGCTGTGTGTACTCTTGTATTTTAAGTTATTTGGTATTAACTCCAGAAGTAGAAGAACTTGGGGGAGAGAGGTTGTTAAGTATTGTTAGTATGTGGAAGAACTTGATCTAGTGGAGAACCTTTTTTCATAAGTGAGGTTTAACAAGTGCCACAGGTACATTGCTTGCTGATGTTCAGCACCTTGGCTGATGAGAACTGATAGTTCATAGTGAGGATATCCAAGTGAAGACTGGTAATGAGTGGTGTTCCTCCAAGTCCGTATTGGGAGTGATGCTGTTTAACATCCTTGTAAGGATGGACAGTGGGATTGAGTGCACCCTCAGCAAGCTTGCTGCCACCACCAAGCTGAGTAGTGCAGTCAACATCCTGGAGGGAAGGGATGACATGCAGAAGGACCTGGATAGGCTTGAGAGGTGGGCCCATGCCAACTTCATGAAGTTCAGTAAGGCCAAGTGCAAGGTCCTGCACATGGGTTGGGACAATCTGAAGCATGAACACAGGCTGGATGGAGAATGGATTGAGAGCAGCCCTGAGGAGAAGGACCTGGGATTCTTTGTTGATGAGAAGCTCAACATGAGCCAGCATTGTGTGCTTGTAGCCCAGAAAGCAAACCACATCCTGGGCTCCATCAAAAGCAGCACGGCCACTAGGTTGAGGGAGATAATTCTCCCCCTCTACTCCGCTCTCATGATATCCCACCTAGAGTACTGTGTCCAATTCTGAAGCCTCCAACACAAGAAGGAAATGGAACTGTTGGAGCAAGTCCACAGGAGGGCCACAAAGATCATCAGGAGGCTGAAGCACCTCTTCTGTGAAGACAAGCTGAGAGACTTGGTGTGATTAAGCCTTCAGAAGAGAAGGCTCCAGTGAAGAGCTTATATTGGCCTTCCAGTACCTGAAGGGGTCTACAGGAAAGCTGGGGTATCTCATTAATGCTTAGGAATCTCTAAAGGGTGGATGTCAGAAGGATGGGGCCAGACTCTTCTCAGTGTTGTCCAGTGACAGAACAAGGGGCAGTGGGCACAAACTGGTGAACAGGAGGTTTAACCTAAATAGAAGAAAATACTTCTTTACTCTGAGTGTAACGGAACACTAGGACAAGCTGCCCAGGGAGGTTGTAGTCTCCATCCCTGGAGACATTCAAAACCCTTCTGGACGTGTTCCTGTGTGATCTGCTTTAGGGGATCCTGCTCCAGCAGGGGGATTGGACTAGGAGATTTCCAGAGGTCCCTTTCAACCCCTACTATTCTTTAATTATGTCATCTTTGTAGAAACAGGTTATGTGCAATATATTCTGTTGTTGGTTTGGGTACTTGACATTTATTTTAGGGCTATGGTAGCTAATGTCATTTATCTTCAGTCCAGGCTCATTCTTCTGTGGTTTACAGCTCCTTATGAGCTGCAACATACTATAGGAGTACCTCAGGATGCAGATTTCTCAATTTCCACAGTTGCATTCTTTGTTCAGTTGTCTGTTCTGTGATAGCAAAACATGGATATCCTCCCAGGCCTCTCTCTTTTACAGGAATTAAAAACAGAAGAGTTGCCCATGTTTATCAGCTTGGAGTTTGCTTCTGTTTCCCCTCATGGTTTTGTTTCTGATCACAAGAACAATTCTAGACTAATTGGGGAGGGAAGATTTCAGCTACATCTTTAAATACTTTTTGCCTTCTGCAAATGAGCTGCTGTAATCCTTGAAGTGTGAAACTTTAGTTGGGAATGCATGGAAGCAAAGTAATTAAAATACCATTTTTCTTACATGCATCTTATTCAGTGACTCTTTAAGTCTTTTAAATCTAGCCTCTAATGTCAAAAAGGCCCCTTGGCTTAAAGAAGATATATATGGGTAGATATGTGACTGCAGTCAGTTGAGCCATTTTGAGGGTATGGGCACACACCTCATATATCTGGCATATCGGAAAGCACTGGATTTACAGTGTGTGTACAGCAGGACTTTTGAGCAAGGACAGCCTGTGCCTTCTGCGGGTGCCCATGGCTACAGTAGAGGCCAGAGCCTAGGGAGATGAGAGCCAGGACTGACCAGTCCCTAAATTGGTTTTTGATTTGTTTCCTGTGAGAGGCAAGAAGACAGTGAATGGAGGAGATAGAGAAGAGTGTGTAGAAACTAAAATAGGATGTTGTGAAAGCAGCGTTTGAAGTACAAAAATGGAAGGGGAAAAAGAGGGGGGAAGAACTGTGTTGCCCAGACTGGGCCTAAGCAGCAGCTATGTGTCATGACCCACTGATCCTCACCCAGTGCTCACACACTAAGATCCTCACCTGTATGGGAGGCAGCCTTATGGCCACGTTTTCAAGGAGGGTCAGGATCGTGTGTGCTTCAGAACACAGGTTTTCAACAATGTAGTGTGTGAGTGGGCAGTGAAACAAGTGGACAATGAAGAATAATATCTCAATAGTTTTATGTTCTTCACACATTGTGAACTAGGCTCTTGGATGTTTCAGTAGGTCTTGGGTCAGGGCTTTGGTGCTTCATGGCTGCCTCTGTTGCATCTGTATTTTCTTCTAAGGGCGGACTCATTGTCATCCAACTGCTTGCTTTTGATGTTACTGCTGTGAATTCTTAAGGGTGTGAGGGATGTGGAAAAATGAGCAATTCAAACCAGTCAATTAGCCTCATAGTGAAATATTCCTTATGTAGAATTATTGAATCATGAAGTCCAACTGTCTGCATTACAAACCCTAACCACTAAACCATCTCCCAAAGCACCATGTCCACCTGTTTTTTGAACACCTCCAGGGACGGTGCCTCCACCACCTCCCTGGGCAGCCTGTTCTAATGTCTCACTACCCTTTCTGTGAAGAAACTTTTCCTAATATCCAATCTGAACCTCCCCTGGTGCAACTTGACCCCGTTTCCTCTTGTCTTACTGCTAGCCACCAACACCCTCCTCACTACAACCTCCTTTCAGGTAGTTGTAGAGAGCAATAAGGTCTCTCCTCAGCCTTGTCTTCTCCAAGCTGAACAGCCCCAGCTCCCTCAGCCTGTTCTCATAAGACCTGTTCTCCAGACCTGTAATCCTTATTCTCTGCAGCCCCTCAAGCACCTCAATGTCCTTCCTATACTGTGGTGCCTAAAACTGCACACAGTGCTCGAGATGTGGCCTCACTAAGGCCGAGTAGAGGAGCAGGATCACCTCCCTGGTCCTGCTGGTCAGACCATTTCTGACCAAGGAGGTGATACTCAGATCAGTCAGGCAAGCTTCAGGTCAACAAAATGTGGTCTTTATGGGAGACTTTATCTCCGCAGATGTGCTGGAGGAACAACACTGTATTTCACCGGACATCCATCAAGTTCCTGGAATTTGTAGAAGACTTCTTCCTCACACAAATGTTGGATGTGCCAATCAGGAAAGGGTCACAACTGGACTTACTACACAGTAGACAAGAAAACCTGCTCGCTAATATCTCTGTTACTGATAGACTTTGGCTGCAGTGACGCCAATATCGTGGAGTTTGGGATACTGCAGAGCACAATGAAGGTTAGTTTCAGGACAGAGGTTTTAGATTTTAGAAGAGCAAACTTCAGCTCACTCCAGGTTCAGTTGGAAGGGATGCTGTGGGAAGCTTCCATGGAAGGTAAAGGAGCTGTTGAATGCTGGGAGTTTTTCAGGAACACTTACAAGCAAAACCAGTTCATCTCCTCTAAAGGCAAGGGAAGTGGAGCAGGAGACCCCCTTGGCTTAACTATGAGCTTCTGGGTCTGCTTAGAACAAAAAGGGAAATATACTAGAAGGGGAAAAGTGAAACAATACCAGTTGGAAATTACAAGGGCATTGCTAAGGTATGCAGAGATGTAGTTAGGAAAGTAAAAGCTCAGCTTGAGCTGACATTGGCCAGAGATGTCAAAAACTTCAAGAAAGGGTTCTTCAAATACATTAACAATAAGCAGAAACAGAGGAATAATGTTGGCCCACTATATTAAACAGGAGAGGTGAACTAGTGACCAACAATGCTGAAAAGGCGGAGGTCCTCAACACCTTCTTCACCTCTGTCTTTACCAGTGCTGTTGGGTCCCAAGTCACAGGAACAAAAGTCCAGGTTGATGCAGACACTGACCCACCATCAATGAAGGAAGAGTTGGTGTGTCAACTATTACAGGAGCTTTACCCATATGAATCGATGGGCCTGGATGCCATCCACCCTAGGGTGCTGAGAGAGCTGGATGACGTCGTTGCAGAGCTGCTCTCCATAAACTTTGAGAAGTCGTGGAGATCAGGAGATGTCCCTGAAGACTGGAGGAAGGCTAATGTCACTCTCATCTATAAGAAGGATCCAATGGAGGACTCAGGTAATTATAGACCCATTAGTCTCACTTTAGTCCCTGGGAAAAGTTATGGAACAAATCCTCCTGGGGGCAGCCACAAGTCATTTGAAGCACGTGATTGGGAAAAACCAAATGGATTTACCAGGGGCAAATTGTGCTTAACAAACTTGATTGTCTTCTATGACAAAGAAACCCACTTGGTTGATGCAGAGTGAGTGGTGGACATCATCTACCTGGATTTCTTCAAGGCTTTTGATATGATCCCCCACAGCCTCCTCCTGGAGGACCTGACTCATTGCAGGCTTGACAAGTGGTCTGTGCGGTGGGTTGGGAACTGGCTGACAGACCATACCCAGAGGGTGATAGTAAATAGTTCCTCCTCAAACTGGCAACTGGTCACAAGTGGGGTCCCCCAGGGATCAATGTTGGGCTCATTGGGCCATTGGTCTGTTTAACATCTTCATAAGTGAACTGAATGTTGGGATTAAGAGCACCCTGATGAAGTTTGCTGACAACACCAAAATGAGTGGAGAGGTTGACGCTCCAGAAGGGAGAGCCTCCCTCCAGGATGACCTGGGCTAGCAGAAACCTTATGAAGTTCAACAGAGAAAAGTGCAAGGTCTTGCATCTGCAAACACAGAACCTAGGAGTGCAGTCCAGACTGGGATCCACTTGGCTGGAGAGCAGCCCTGTGGAAAGGGACCTGAGCTCTTGGTAGACAACAGGCTCAACGTGAGTGAACAGTGACTGCTGCAGCAGAGAAAGCCAACAGGGTGCTGGGCTGCATCAACAAGGGCATCACCAGCAAAGATAAAGAAGTCATCATCCCACTCTGCTTGGCATCTGTCAAACCACACCTGGATTTGGTCCCTGCTCTACACAAAGAATGCGGGCAGGCTGGAGGGGGTCCAGAGAAGAGCCACAAGGATGATCAGAGGACTGGAGGACCTGCCATATGAGGAGAGGCTGAGAAAAATGGGTTTGTTCAGCCTTGAGAAGAGAAGGCTTAGGGGAGACTTCATTACTGTCTTCCAGTACTTAAAGGGTGGCTACAAAGAAGATGGGGACTCCCTGTTTGCAAGGGGTCACATGGAAAAGACAGGGGTTAATGGGGACAAGTTGCTCCTGGGGAGATTCCAACTGGACACAACAAGTAAATTTTTCGCCATAGAATCATAGAATCTTAGGGGCTGGAAGGGACCTCGAGAGATCATCTAGTCCAACCCCCCTGCCAGAGCAGGGTCACCTAGAGTACATCACACAGGAACTCATCCAGGTGGGTTTTGAATGTCTCCAGTGAGGGAGACTCCACAACCTCCCTGGGCAGTCTGTTCCAGTGCTCTGTCACTCTCACAGTAAAAAAATTTTTTCGGATATTCACCTTGAACCTCCTATGCTCCAATTTACACCCATTACCCCTTGTCCTATCACTGGTCATCACCGAGAAAAGCCTAACTCCGTCCCCCTGACACTCACCCCTTACATATTTGTAAACATTGATGAGGTCACCCCTCAGTCTCCTTTTCTCCAAGCTAAAGAGACCCAGCTCCCTCAGCCTTTCCTCATAAGGGAGATGTTCCACTCCCTTAATCATCTTCGTAGCTCTGCGCTGGACTCTTTCGAGCAGTTCCCTGTCCTTTTTGAACTGAGGGGCCCAGAACTGGACACAATACTCCAGATGTGGCCTCACCAATGCAGAATAGAGGGGGAGGAGAACCTCTCTTGACCTACTAACCACACCCTTTCTAATGCACCCCAGGATGCCATTGGCCTTCTTGGCCACAAGGGCACATTGCTGGCTCATGGTCATCCTCCTGTCTACCAGGACCCCCAGGTCTCTTTCACCTACACTACTCTCCAGCAGTTCAGCCCCCAACCTGTACTGGGACATGGTGTTGTTCTTCCCCAAATGTAAAACTCTGCACTTCCCCTTGTTGAATTTCATCATGTTTCTCCCCGCCCAACTCTCCAACCTATCTAAGTCTCTCTGAATGGCAGCACAGCCTTCTGGTGTGTCAGCCACTCCTCCCAGCTTAGTGTCATCAGCAAACTTGCTGAGGGTACATTCTATACCCTCATCCAGGTCGTTGATGAAGATGTTGAACAACACCGGTCCCAGCACCGACCCTTGTGGGACTCCACTAGTAACACACCTCCAACCAGATTCTACCCCATTGACTACAACTCTCTGACTCCTTCCTTTCAACCAGTTCCTAATCCACCTCACTTCCTGGTCACCAAACCCATACCTGATCAACTTATCCACAAGGATGCTGTGGGAGACGGTGTCAAATGCTTTACTGAAATCAAGATAAACCACATCTACCGCTCTACCATCATCTATCCACCTAGTAATTTCCTCATAGAAGGCTATGAGGTTAGTCAAACATGATTTACCCTTGATAAAACCATGCTGACTGCTCTTGATGACCCCCATGTCCTTGATGTGCCTGGAGATAGTCACAAGAACAAGTTGTTCCATCACCTTTCCAGGGATGGAGGTGAGGCTGACCGGTCTATAGTTACCCGGGTCCTCCTTCTTGCCCTTCTTGTAGACTGGAGTGACATTTGCTATCCTCCAGTCCTCAGGCACCTCACCTGTTGCCCATGATTTACTGAAGATGATGGAGAGTGGCCTAGCAATGACCTCCGCCAGCTCCCTCAGCACCCTTGGGTGCATTCCATCTGGACCCATTGATTTATGGATGTCCAGATTACTCAACTGATCCCTAACCCAATCCTCATCTACCATGTCAAACTCTTCCTCTATCTTGACTTCTTCTGGGGCTATATGAATCTGGGGCTCATAGGGAGACCCTGCAGGAGTGAAGACAGAGGCAAAGAAGGCATTCAGCACCTCTGCCTTCTTTATATCCTCTGTCACCAGGGCTCCCACCTCATTCCTCAATGGGCCAATATTGCCTCTATTGCTAGTTTTGCTAGCTATGTACTTGAAAAAGCCCTTTCTATTATCCTTAACCTGACTTGCAAGGTTAAGTTCCAAGGAGGCCTTAGCTTTCCTAATTGCCTCCCTACATCCTCTGACAACAGTCCTATATTCCTCCCAAGTGACCAGCCCCTCCTTCCATGATCTATAGATTTTCCTTTTCCACTTAAGTTTGCCCAGTAGTTCCTTCTTTAACCATGCAGGTCTCCTAGCACCCTTACTAGATTTCCTAACCATTGGGACACTCTGATCCTGTGCTTGCAAGAAGTGGTCCTTGAATGTTGACCAGCTATCTTGAGCTCCTTTATTTTCTAGCACCCTGTCCCATGGGATTTCCCTTAATAGATGATTGAGGAGACCAAAGTTTGCCCTGTGGAAGTCCAGGGTTCTGGTCCTGCTGGGTATTTTGTTCCTTCCACACAGGATATGTACTCATATAAAATCTGTTTTGTTGTGATTACATCAGCTCAGTTAAGATTTTATTAGCATTTAAATTCTATCACCATGCCTTACAAATTAGGTAGTTAATATTGTACAAACAAGGCAAACAAATAATTATCTTACTGTATTGCTTAATAATCTACCTGGTCTTCTGACATTTTTCAAAAAGAATTTTCAGCTTCAGTACAATACATTTTTTTTCTACTATGTTCTTGTTTGTTACACAGTTGTCAGGCTTTTCACTCTCAGTCTATCCTTCTTTCTCTCTCTAGTTGCTCTCTCACATAAAGAGCAACTCCACCACCTCGCTTCCCTGCCCTATCTTTCCTAAGAAACACATATCCATCCATGGCCACATTCCAGTCATGTGAGCTGTCCCACCATGTCTCTGTTATTGCTACTAGATCATATACGGACAATCAAACTTGGAATAGTCCCCCAAGAGAAGTGGTAGATTCCCGCACACTGGACAGTTTTAAGTCTCACCTTGACAGAGTGCTGAGCCATCTCATATAAACTATAGTATTACTTAGATAGGCTGGACCAGATGAGCCTTGAGGTCCCTTCTAACCTGGCATTCTATGATTGTCTGTATAATATATCTAATGAGAGTTACGATACACAATGCAAGTTTTTTAATATAATTTTGTGGGTTACTTTTTTTAATTCTCCTCATCTGGGATATGAGGTTTCACTGTCAAGAAGAAGGGACTAATCTTTTGTGAATTATGTATGATTTTGTGTGTTCGTGATTATCTGTGTTCACATTCAATTATAAGTTTTGCTTCTGTCACTTAAAGTCCATAAGCAAAATCTTCCTTGGGCTGAAGTAGGTTATCATGTGTATATGAATTAAGACAGGATAGTGGTCTTGAAGGATGTTGATATAGCTTTCCATTATTGATGTGTAGTCTATCCAGACTGCAGACAAACCATGTCACATATGAGGATACTCTGTGCAGAATCAGGCTGGGACAGGCAAGGCTTTAATGAACACTACAGCTTGGTTATGTGGTGTTCCGGGATGCTGCTTTGTGTCCAGAAATAATACTGTGTAATATTGTAATTAGAGATTTTTCTTTTTCAATTCTATCTTTCAGTCTTAATATTCATGATGTTGATAAAGAGGTTATGATGACAGGATTTGAAATACACATGATACTAGTTTTATGCTTAATTTCTGTAAAGAGCCATAAAAAAAATGCCTTAAGGTAATCCATACCTGATATGACCCTAAATATATTTTTCTTATATTAAAGTTAGCTGTTTACTTAAGCAACTTGGCAATTCATTTGGACTGAAAGCTGGCAGGTATATTTTGAAAATAATATGAATGTTCTGCAAAAATGAAGATCAAAGGGCAGATCTTGGGAACTTGGCAGAATGGGAAGGAGTTTTGGCAAATAAATTTTCATGTTCTTTTGAACTGCAGAAAGCAAAATTTTATTCTCACTAAAATTTGGTTGTTTTAAAAAACCTTCTAGGCTTTCTGTGATATTAAATCCAATTGAAATCATATGGTTCGGGTACATTTGACATCAATATTTTTTAATTAAACAGAACCTCTTTGTTGCAGATAATTGTGGCTCTATGACTCTAATAACAAGATAGTGATGTCATCCTGCTGCCTTTCGTG